GTTTCATTGTAAAGAAAACCATTTGAACTTCAAAATATGAGTGTAATTCTTTAACATTATATATTTTTCAAATATTACAATAAACACACAAAAAAACATGGGCGCTTTTGGATGTTTTAAAAAAATATATATATTTTAAAATCTGTAATTCAGGTTCTATTAGGTCCAGCTCTTTGCAATTTACTTTGTTTGATGCCATTAGATGCCAAAATGTACCAGAAAAAAAGAATCTTTCAAATACCAGCTTCTAAACAGGAGTTATTGCATTATGTGTGAAGTGAGTAAAATTGTCTTTTTTTTTGCATATACATGTCATTTTGAGTTTCCTTTGCAAAAACAGGCTTTATAAAACACTTTACCCCAATAATTCTATTTTACTATGTGCCATAAGCACTTTTCTTGATTATTGATTGAATTATTTTTCATTTTTATGTTTTTCTAAGTAGTAATATACAAAATGGCATAAGCGAATTGGACCAATTTCACATTTTGTGTTTTCTACAATCCAGTGTTATTCTTTCAGGATACAGAAGACATTATAAAATAAATCTGGTCTATCACAATGTAAAATAGAATCCACATCCTCCAGCTTTATATCATTCCATTTATGTGCATTCTGTATTGGTATACTGATTCAAAGCATCTTCTTACCTCATCAGATGAGCCATCCCTGTATCCAGCTACCTATTGCTCCCAACATCTTTGCATCCCTGGACCAGAGCTGAGCTAACCCGTTAGCCGCGGCTGCTATGACCTTCAGAGCGTGAAACAAATGAATGATCATTCACACAGCGCTGTAATGATTCCATGTATATTTTCTGAAATGCATAATGTACAGTCCTTTTCTGTCAATAAACCGTTTTATCCGATTGTTAGCGGTGCTATCGCGTTTCAAAATAAAGATTCAAAGATCACAAACGGAGAAAACACGCTGATAAAGCCTCACCAGACGCGTGTCCATTCCTCTCCACGGCGCCGCTGAACGTTCTTCATCATATACAACTTGTAATATGATTATCATCTTGATATTCTCCGAGCCGCATTTGCTTTTCCACGTGGCCATTCTGCTTTCAAACCAGTCCGAAACTACAAGACCCAAACAACAACACGCTGCGAGGAGCGCTGTTCCGGGTCCGGATACGTGTCAGCCCCCTCGACCACCCTCCCCCGCTGTTGACGTAGAGGTGTCAAACTTCACAGCCCTGACTGGCCCGGCGTGAGTGTGTGTCATAAAACCTGACCAATTGTAATCGACAGACTCATCAGAGTTGTAAAAGATCAGACTTGCCTGGCATTAGAGTTTATGACTTGGAGAGCGTGTCTATGGCAGAAAGTGTGCATGATTATCATAGATTGATATTCTCCGAGCCGCATTTGCTTTTCCACGTGGCCATTCTGCTTTCAAACCAGTCCGAAACTACAAGTCCCAAACAACAACACGCTGCGAGGAGCGCTGTTCCGGGTCCGGATACGTGTCAGCCCCCTCGACCACCCTCCCCCGCTGTTGACGTAGAGGTGTCAAACTTCACAGCCCTGACTGGCCCGGCGTGAGTGTGTGTCATAAAACCTGACCAATTGTAATCGACAGACTCATCAGCGTTGTAAAAGATCAGACTTGCCTGGCATTAGAGTTTATGACTTGAAGAGCACGTCTGTGGCAGAAAGTGCGCATGTTTTGTCTGGTGCGCATCTGGACAAAACGCTATATATCTCACCGATGGAAGCACACAGAAACGTGAAAATGGTCTTGTTTGAAAGCAGAGATCCTAATCTAAAAGATAATATAGAGTATATACATATTTGTGGCTGACGGAAGCAGTGCTACAAGTAGGAATGTAACCCATATGAAAATGTGCTTAGAGGTGAGAAATTTCACATCGCGATTCTATTGAAGATCATTCGATCTGAGATTGTCACACAATGAAATAATCTACACAGTCAAATTCCTGAGAATGAGAGCTTTCTTGTGATATATGACTTGACTGTTTTGTGAAAGATATATAAAATACACATTCTTCGAAAAAATTATTCGCAATCGTTAGGCGGAAGTTCGTGTGTGGGACGAATACATTTCTAAGCTTAATTTTACTGCTTTATGAATCCTAAAACCAAGATTTATGTTTGTGTTTATGTATTCTTTGTAAAGAAGACACTCCAAGCTTTCAAATGAACCCATATATGGGCTGATACCATATAAGGAAGGCTATGTAAATGAAGCATAACGATTTTGGACCCGTATCCGGGTCCGCGGAGTTTTGCAACAACATGCAAAACCCCGTCCCTCTCTCCCGAACTGTCAGAAGATAGATGGAGAGGCCGTAGAGCGCTAGTTAGACTCGCACACTTAACACTGTGTCTACTCCGGACGTGGCAGTTGTCACACCATGCCGGAACAGCTTGAGGCTGTCTACACTGGACGCCATAAAGCGACCATTAAGAATTATTTTTACTTTGTGTCAGTCATAAATAGAAAGAGGCAACAGTTTACTGTCGGGGATTTGTCGTGCCACATCCAGTGTAGACCGCATTACTGATTATAATGGGTTCTATAGTATTTTGTTGTGGCGCACCGCGCTACTCGCGTCCGGTGTAGACACGGTGTAAGACTTATGTAAATATTGCGTGGGAATGAGAGCTCTGATCGGTTATCCAGGTAGAAAAGTCACTTGATGTTGCCAAGTGTAAATGCACCGTGTCCTGATTGACTGATGAGCCGATCGCATGTTAATGCCAAATGTAAACGCAACCATTGTTTATGCTATTAAAGGGGTCATGTGATGTTGCTAAAAAGAACATTATTTTGTGTATTTGGTGTAATGAAATGTGTTTATGCGGTTTAAGGTTAAAAAACACATTATTTTCCACATACTGTACATTATTGTTTCTCCTCTATGCCCTGCCTTTCTTAAACGTGTCGATTTTTACAAAGCTCATCGGTCTGAAAAGCGAGGTGTGCTCTGATTGGTCAGCTATCCAGTGTGTTGTGATTGGCCGAATACCTCAAGCGTGTGACGGAAATGTTACGCCCCTTATCATATTGTGATGCCTTGTCCCGGCCGGAGCGATGAGACAAAAACATTAAAACCCATTATAAATGAGGCATTTGTTGCATCCAGTGGGGACATAATTACGGATTATAATGACTTCTACTGACTTTTTACGCGTTGCATTGCATCGCGCCACGTAAACAAAACCATGTCTGCATTTGTGATCGGAGAAATGACAAACTACAAACGCTACTCTACACTGCTCAAAACTCGCGTTTGAATCGTCAGTGGCAAATTCTTTAAAT